CTGTCTTCCCTCAGTTCCAAAGCCCCCCTCCCCCCCCCCCATTAAAAAAAAAATCGAGATAACTCAATAACTCAAATTTGAATCTCCAAAACACATTCAAACAACAGCCTCGACCCATTCCCCAAACCTTCTCTCAAATAGTAAGGGCACCTTCAAGTGTTCATCTTTGTCTGCATATTTATTTGGGGAACATCATTATTAACCAGGGTCTAATCCCAGAAGATCGGTGTCGCTTCCACAAACATTTACATCTTCTTACATTTATAATTTATGGAGGAAAAATGTGTTTTACTGATTTTCCAAATTGTGAAAAGAGCTGTTTGTGACTCCTCTCTTGGATTTTATTTTATTTTATTTTATTTTTGCTGTTAGATTATTGTTTTGATTTTAATCTGGAAATGTAATTCTGGCCAGTAGAAATTCTTCTGTAATTCAGAATCAAATTCTTTGGGAGACCTCATTGAATTGGTGCACAGGAAAGTTGAGCCCATTGGAGACGTTGGTTCACTTCTGAGTTTGTTTATAGGAACACAAATGTGTTAACCATCTAACAGACATAAGTGAAAATGAAGTAAAGCACTGTTGCGCTTTATTAAAACAAATTGTTTGAACATAATTAAATATAATGTGAAAGACAATTTGGGCATCACGGTTAATTCATTAATTATTTCACGACATTGCCCGTCTATAGATGCTATAAATAGTTGCAGAACCTCTTAGCTCAATTATCCACTTATTTTAAGTGTTCATTAGCCTGTCTGGGTTGTTTCCCATGATGCCTTAGCATGAAGCCGGCGATTTTAAAGACAAGCTTATGTAGTTGTTTCACTTGGTGACTAAGCAAAGTGTAATTGCCTTTGTTTGATGTTTATTATGACAGTCAACTTGAACTAGGAGTGGCATTCAACACCTTGAAGCCTCTTGTATCGGCATTAGTAAATTTTTTTTTTGTAGGGGGGGGGGGGGGGGGGGGACATAATGGCCTGAAGCGTTTCCTGATTTTCACAGTCCCTTTCCGGTTGGAATAGTGAGGTTGAACTGTTGTTGAGGTTCCGACTGCCTTTGAAAGCGTCCTGAGACGTGTCTGTGCCACGCTAACCTGCCTGATTTCCCGCAGTGCCTCGTTGGTGTCCAGTGAGGAGCTCCTGGTCAGCTGTGGCTTCCTTCTTTGTAAAGGTGTGGTGTCCCGCATGGATCTGGTCTCGGTACACCTCTTCTCGGGCACTCGCCTCTTCTCCTTCCTCTCGCTGGCGTGGGGCTTCGTGGCCGACGTGGACATTGAGAGCGAGAAGTACCGTCACGTCGGAGCAGCTCGCTTCACCGTGGGCACTCTGGTGAGGTTGGCGTCTCTTCGCGTCTACAAGGGCAAGCTGGCCTACTTGCCCCTGGAGGCAGATTGCAACCGGATGGGATCCAGAAATAGCAACAATCACAGCGCCACCTTGCACAACTCCAGAGACTCTCCTTTGCAGAACTCTTTCCACAACTCCTGTCACTCCAACAACTCCCTCAAGGCGAGGAGATTCGAGCGTTTACGCAGCTCCAGCAAAACTCAGACGGGCCTGTGGAACTCTGTGCTCCCGCGGCTGGAGGAGCCTCTCCCAGGGAACTGGGTGGTGGTCCCAGAAGAAGACTTTGTCCTGGTGCTGGCCATGTACCAGTCCCACCTGGCCGAGGACCTGCTGGCTGCACCGGACGCCACCCTGGACGACGGCGTCATTCATTTGTTCTACGTCAAAGCAGGAATATCCCGCGCCGCGCTGCTCAGGCTCTTCCTCGCCATGGAAAAGGGCGCACACGTGACGTCCAGCTGTGCACATCTGGTGCACACCAAAGTGCGGGCGCTCAGGATGGAGCCATATTCTCCCAAAGGGATTATAACCGTGGATGGAGAGGTGGTGGAATATGGGCCAGTGCAAGCAGAGGTGCACCAGGGCCTCGCTAGACTCATCAGTGCATGAACTTGAATGACCTGACACTTATATACGCATACGCACACACACACACACACACACACACACACACACACACACACACACACACACACACACACACACACACACACATTTGCACCTGCTACCTGTAGGTAATTTCCATCCATCCATGCATTTCCATTCTAACTAATATTGTATTTATTTGTGCGATTGTTTATGAAATAGCAACAACTACAGCAAAGAAGCTGGAACCCCAAAACATGAAGTGCAAACATGAAAGAGACGTTCAGAATTCATTTTCTTGCCCCTCTTCATTTAATCTTGCAAACACGTGCTCGGCTCTGTGAATTTGGTCTTGCTGCATATGGAGGTCTTTTTTTAGTCCAGCTTCCAGCTTGTTGCTGTCACATTTCAAGATGTTTAAATCTGGTTAAGCAGGGTTCTTCTTTTCTATTTCTCAATTGAGATGCACATATCATGTACATGCATGTCGGCATGTTTGTAGAATGTTTCTCTGTCGTTACCCCGCCAACAAGGACTAATAATAAGAAGAAGAAGAGAGCGATAGCACCAAAATAACCCCGAAACACACATTAACAATTCTCACCAAGGTGTCCTTACTGCACTAATGATTGTAAAACCGACTGTTAAGTGTGGCTTTTGTCTGTTTTATTTGATTCCAAAGATCTCGCGTGAACACAATTGGAATGTGATTCCTTTCCGATTGTCATCAACTTGAGGGGCCTGATGACTGGCAGTTAAGAGAGGAGGGGTCTAGCAGGGTATGTGTGTGTGTGTGGGTGTAGGGGGGGTGGGGAGGGGGCTGTATTGACTTTTTAAATGCTGCGTGAAGAGAGCAGCGGACTGTGGTGTTTTGCGCCTAATTCATTCTTGTTGTCACAAGAGGAGCTTTGGGAGCATTAGCAGTGTCCTGAGACGAGGGGGAGACGTGTTGCATTTCAAAAGACACAAACGCAAAGGTGGGCTGAGCATGCCTGCCTGCCTCATAAAAAGAAAAAAAAAGATGTCCACATGAGGGTTTAATAGAAAATTTTGAATTGTGCAAAAAGAACTATATCATGGTCATACACTCCTTAACACATACTGCACTGAAAATCACGTGTTACCAGTCCATCAAAGTGTCATAACATTACTAGAATTTAATAATAGTGCTATTATGATTCATTATTATGATGATGATGATTGTTATGATTTTCTTTTCACCATAATTACGTCAATGTAGCAATACAAAAATAACAGCTAATGCCTCAAAAAGGATTTGTATTGTTGATGGTCACTAAAAGAGTGAGTACAAAGAGCAGAATTTCCAGGCATGTTTTTAGAAAGGACTCTTTAAAGTGAAGGAAGGGAAGGGTATAAAGTCATCCTAATGGGGGCTACACGCATACCGACAATCACACCAAAATTAATTAATGGTCAACCTGTACAATATTTAGGATGGCAAATCCTGATATGGGTCTGGTCAACACCGGGTTCATATACTTTCATGTATTTGAGGGTGTGTCTGCGCACGCCCGGACAAGTAGAAGTCCATCACAAAATCAAGACAGCAAAGATGAACAGCTCTCCTCATCATCAGCAATATCGTTGTGAGCCTGTACATCTTATACGTGTATACAGATATTCCCGAAACATTTTATTTTCGTTATTTGATGTTTGCCTTATTCAAGGTGACTGTATTTCCCATCGGCGTGGATGCCCTGTAGCGGCATGCTGCCTCCTACCGGTCAGTATTGGTATGACACATTTTAATAATGAAATAAAGTGGAGACACAAGCATACACACATAGCATTGTTGCTGCACGTGAGTGACGTTGGTGTCTAACATGCTCATAACACTTTCGTTTCTTTCTGGTTCTGAGCTATTTCGGTTTCTTTTTTTCTTTGTTTGTTTTTAGGGAAGAATGCCTTTATTAAACTAGAGAGATATATTTTTCCATGATGCAAATGTCTGTAGTTTGTCAACTTGATGTTTTATGCTATGATTGACAAATAAAAAGCCGCTTGAGAAAGTCTTGGTCACTTTATTTCTGGAAAATCCATCCTTTCGTCATTTAAAAAAAAATAGCACTTGTCCTCATTGTCTCAGTCCCGGATACACAAAACAGCCCTTCAACATTCACTGAACTGAGATCTCATCTTTTTAAAGCGTGACGACAGTTAATCCTTTGATAACCTAACTGACGCCTTGCAATGCAAAACAAACTGCATTTTATTTAATCAGTGTTGTTATTTTGTGTGTACATCATAACAAAGTAGAGGTAAATAAGTAAAAGGCAGTAAGATGCCCACATTTCTGGAATTCCTGACAATGACCTCCTAACTTGTTGAAAACGTTTCATCAAATGCATCAACGCTATGGCGTCATCTTGATACCGTGTTCTCCTCAACTTCCCACGAGCAGACACTAACACAACCAAACAAAAGACACATCACTACGGTACTGCTTGCAAAGTTTAATACGTTATTATACATCTGTCTCAACACAACAAATGTAATTAAAAAAAAAATCAAAAATGTAATCATTGTGTACATATGCCCCGAGCATCTGCACATCATGTGAGTATATACATCCATGACATCTGCACAGAGGGAATCCGGCTACAAATAATAACTAACTCTTTAGGTATGTATGTGTGTGTATATATATCTATATATATAATTAATTTCTTTATAAATAAAGCAGGCCACTGTGGAAATGACATGGTACAGTCAAGTCTGTGTTGCCTGTCAGAAAGGCTAATTTTAAAGCAAAATGTTACATGCTTTGGCTTGGGTAGGAGGAGAATAACAACACATAGAATATTGTTCAAAAGCAACAGGCTTGATCAGATCTTTGACAGCTTCACAAGCAATGGCGTCAGTTGTATGTGGGTGCCTGTTTGCACTCGATGTAGGAAACTGGCATTGACATCTGACATTTACAGACAGCAGCGTGGAGGAGGGGGTTCGGGGGGGGGGTCAAGCTAACACAGGCTCTGCGCTACAATGAAGATCACTTCTTTCTCTGTAGCAATAAAGGCAGCAAAATAATGTCGGAATGTCAGTCAAGGAAGCTTGATTGCCTCATCCACTGTGTGTGTGTGTGTGTGTGTGTGTGTGTGTGTGTGTGCAACAAATCCATCATTTAAACTCATAAAACAACTCTCAGCTCTCGTCACCAAGGTAGTTCAACAGCATATCGAAAAGCCCATGTTACAAGCATTGCATCTGCTAAGTCAGAAGGAAAAAATAAACATGATTCCATTTGGGTGTTTGTGTGCAAAGCAAAACAAACAAACAAAAAGATGTAAACAAAAAACCTCTCTGCTCTCCCTTGGAAGCACAAGTATCACTTTCTTTCACAGTAAAGTACAGCCTCACCTGTCACCACGTTTATTTATTTATTAATTTTGAACCAAATGCACATGGCCAGGGGAGAGCAATTGTGCCAGATAAGCAGATGTGTAGTTTGGTGCCATTCATGCAGTGAGGAGGGCTGAGGGAGCAATGGAGAACACTGCAATAAGGTGTAGTACTATTCAAACAAGCAGCTCTGTCGAAGATTCCCCCCCCCCCCCAATCCCCCAAGTAAGGCAACATTTTGATGAGATGATGGAATGGACGTTAACGTTGTGTGACTTAAGGTAGACTTGAGTGATGGCGGCTGGATTTAAAATGAACTTCAAAAGTTCCATTATGGTAATACAGTGGCACCTTGGCTCACGAGTTGAAATGTTTTGCGTCTGAGCTCATATTTTGTTCATTTATTCGTACGTCAACAAAATGCAAGGTGGTGAATGCTGGGAGGGTGTTGTGAGGTCAAAATCAAGCTAGGACTGTAATCTAAATAAAACAGCGTGATGAAGTGACAAGCTGTTGGCAGTTTGGTGACATCCAGTACATTCTGGAAAATGCGTGTGTTGGCGTAATTTGGCAGAAAGCATACAAGAAGTGGGTTTGATTGAGAAGAAGAAGAAAAAAAAAGTTCCCATATGCCTGCTTGACGCATTTCGATGGAGTCATCAGTGCAGGATGGTCCACTGATGGAATCAGCGGGGCTACAAAGTGGCAGCAGAACGGGGTTTGAAACAGGAACCCGGTGGTGTTAACATGTCAGCTTTTCAAGCGAAATTGAAACACGAGGTGGTTATCAGGTCCTTGGCACTGTTCTTTCCACTGTGTTCACTGTCCACCATTGACAGAAGGGGTTTGGGGGAACGTTTACCGGCTTAATGTGCAGATAAGGGTCTCTGTGACACATAGCAGCTGAGGTCCATTGTCTGTATCTTTATGTGTCACTGGAGGAAAGCAAAAAGACAAGAGATCAGGTGACACCAGGCAAAGGCCAGACCCGCATGAAAGGCAAGCTCGATCAGAGACGTTAAATATGCCACTCTTCAGCACACAACACGTTGCACTGCACTTGGATGCAGTTCAAGAAAATGCATCACGATGGGGAAGCTTGTTGGAAAGGAAAGAGAGGAGCAGACAATGGAAAGGCGTGGGGAGGCGCTTACTTGGCATGCTCGGGGATGGCGGCAGCCACCAGCGCGGCTCGATAATGCAGCAGCACGCAGCGGACGCTCTTCACAAAGCCTTTAGAGAGCGGGAAGAGAGGGAAGCCGATGTCCGGGTAGCCGCCGCCCTCAGGGAGGAAGCTCCGATAGCTCTTTCTCCGTTTCTTGGGTCGCACCACTGGCTGGGCCAAGGCTCCGTCGCCACCGGAGGAAACCGGTTCTGACGAGACAGAAACTGCACCCTTGTCGTCGGGGAACCCTCGGGAGTTGTCGCCGCGGTCCGCGATCTGGCCGGTCTCCCCCTGAAAGGCGGACGTAGTGGACGGACTCAGTCCCGAATCCTCTGGCTCCTCTTCAATAATATTGCCTCCCGCCTTCCTGGGGGTGCTGTGGGCCACGGCCACGGGCGCCTGCTCTTCTAAAGTCTCTACGCAAGAGGGCTTGGCGCGATGAGCCCTGGAAGCGGCGTGCGAAGTGTGGCCCCTTTCGGCGGCGTCATGCAGCTCCAGCCACATTTCCAGGCGGTGGACGAGACGCCAGCCGTTGGAGACGAAGTGCTCCCGGATCTCCTGCTTGAACACCTCCACGGGATTCTGGAGCAGCTGCGTCATGGACTGGACCATTTTGATCAGGGCCATCTCGTTGTAGCAGCGGCTGTTCTCGTAACCCTCCTGGAGGCCGCGGTCGCTGTCGAAGCCCGCCTCGTTGTAGTAAGGCTCGTTGACCAGGATCAGACCTGCCGGTTGACATGGTGCAAGACCGTTGCACTTATGTGCAGAGATGGGCATTCCGTCCCTGGGACAGAATGCTCATTTTCGAGACCGAGGACGAGAAGTTTTTTTAAATTAAGCAAGGACGTAAGTGGGTTTTCATCCGTCCCTTTAATTGTCTCTAACCCGGTTAAGTAGGTGGTGTCGGGAGGCAAAATAACAAAGCCAGAGTGTAGCCAAACACTATACAGTATTTTCTTAACAGGTTATTTCATCTCAACAGTATTTCTACAGCAACACCGCCACCTAGTGTACAGTCAGAGAACACGAAGTGCCAATGGACACTTATTTCGCTCACAATCAATCCAGCCGGTTAGCTGGCTGTGTTGTATGTCTCTCGGTACCCACCCACTAGGATTTCCAAAAAGACGCATGGGGACGAAGGACGATTATTATTATATGACTAAGGACGGAGAGATGATGATGATGGAAGGGTACCCAGGTCGCAGACGGAGGTTTGAGGACAGACCGGCAAAATACGGTTGTGGCCTAGAGCAGCTCATTGCGACAGTTTTCCTTTTGAATTTTTGTGTCCCATTCAATAAATGGCTTCAGGTGCATTAGTGACTGTTGTTTTCCTTGCACATGTGTGAGGGCATGAGAGGAGGTGAAGTGCAGAAAAAAAAAAACAAAATGTATCGATAATTTTGAATTTTAATTGTATGGTGAGGTAGCTAGAGCTTCCAATCGCTATGTGTCGCTCAAAATCCGCTGGGATATGCTCCAGCTTACCTATGGCCCTGAAACAGGATAAGTGGTGACGGATGGATGGATGGATGATGTTCTAACCTTGTATGGAGATGAGGACTTGCAGTAGGCTGGACTTGCTGGTCCATCTCTCAGTGCCCTGTTCATAAAACCAGGGATGAAATGATGAAGGGTGCAGCTGAGTATTTCATCTGCCTTGAATAATATGAACCGAATTTTCACCCCCCAGTGCTAAAAATATTTCAACGACTAACACGCAGTGGGCGCTTACCTTGCCGATCCAGGTGCCCAGCAGACTGACGCAGACCTTGCCGTTGTTGTAGAGGTTGGGATTGAGGCGGCCGCTGCACTGAGACAGGTAGCGGAAAAGAGGCGGCAGTGCTGGATAAATGTTAGGCAGCTGGATGTCGAATAGGAACAGGCCGTCCTCGTAGGGCGTACGATTTGGCCCCTTGATCAGAGCCGAGAAGAGGTCCTGTGTCCATACAAACAAAATGCAGTATTATAAGATAATATTACAGTGCAGTGCAATTTCTTGCTTTCTTGACAAAAAAAAAAAAAAAAAAGCACCATGCACAAGTTTTAAGCCACAACTAGTTTTGCCGTTTTAATAAATATTGAAAGAATCATTTTGAAATAGTGAAACATCGAAATTATGGGATGGACTGTGCAAGTAAAGAAATTAAAATAATTGTAACAATTTTGAATTGATGGTGGTCTGCATTCCGCTGAGAAACATTTGAGTTAGATATCACCTTTTTAGACAAATATGTTGCTTAGACAACATATTTCATACCGTCTCAAAAAATGGTCCCACAGTTGATATGAGCTCAAAATTGAAAAAAGAAAAAAAAAAAAAAACAACACTACTATTAATATGAAATGGTCACTTCTGGATTGTGAACCTACCATACGATCTTCAAAGGTTTTGACCATGATACCGTCTGGCAGTGAGGTGGCCAGCAGAGCCATTTCCTTCCTTACAGTGCTGAAAAACTTTTTGGCCTCAGCTGGCTGAAATTCCATTTTTTGAAAGGAGTGCGTTTCTGCAAAAGACACAAAGCTGAAGTCTCATCAGCCAACCAAAACCAGAGGCAATCATTTTGAATAGAGTGTGACGGGCTGTATGGAAAGGTCATATAGCATGTCTGATCTGGTTTGGTTGACTTAAACAAAGGAGGCTTAAAAAAAAAAAAAAAAAAAAAAAATGGAAGAAACAGAGCACATGTGTCAAAGTCTAGGCCGGCGGCAAGCCAAAGCTTGATGCGGCCAGCCTAGGGAACTTCCAAATGACATTTAAAAAGCCTCTCCCTGACTCCTCAGAAGTAGCCAAGTACTAGGGTTGGGGGGGAAAAAAGTCAAGCAGTTCGACCAAGTAGATCACAAAAAATGATTGTCGCAATATGTTTTGCTGTGAGGCATTCCCGGCACCTTTGTACGCCATGCACACAGACATTTCAAGGCCAGGAATTGGGGTCCCAGCCTACCCACCAGGATGTTCTCATTCGTGACTTGACTATTAAGTGGCTGTAGATTTACTTCACAACGTTAGCAAACATAAGACATAAGACGGCAATGATGTGCAAAGATATATTGACGACAGGTCTTTGTGGGAAATACTCTTCTTGGGGAATCCACTTGTGATAATTTGATGTAAGAGTAATTAATAAGTAATTAATTCTACGATAGTGGCAGCCCTACAAAGCACTAAAACATGCAATTGTTAGTACTTTTATAGCACAATAATTCAAACTGCTCAAATTGAAAATGTTACTGTCTGAAAAGACAAATTATGTTGTACTTCCTAAAAAAGAAAGTACCGTACTGGCCCGAATATAAGACGGTGTTTTTTGCATTGAAATAAGACTGAAAAGGTGGGGGTCGTCTTATATTCTGGGTCTTGACATTATATCCATTCACGACGCTAGATGGCGCCATATATCATTGACGCGAATGCTGAACTTGACTCCCCAGGCCAAAGCGAACCCCTGTCACCAAGAATAAAAATAAAAATAGCGGTAGCTACAAAGAAGAAAATAAAAAAATAGCAGTAAGAAAGAAAAGAGAAGAAAATAATAGAAGAGACAACAGAAAATGGAGAAACGTAGCGACAATCTGGAGAAAAGTGGGTCGAAGATCGGCCAGGTTAACCGGCAGCTGAGGAGAAGTTATGGTGTAAACTTCAAGATGCTTTTTCTCTCAAATATATTGTTATAATCATTTGTTTCATATGTACTGTAATTTAATTTCTGTATAAAAATTAATTTGGTGTTCAAAAAGACTTTTTTCAAACTTGAGTCTTGACAAAGAGGGGTCGTCTTATAATTAGGGCAGTCTTATATTCGGGCCAATACGGTATTTGAACTGTTCATATTTCTGTCTAAACATGATTACATCTGTTCCTGCTAAAAAAAAAAAAAAAAAAGCTGTTTTTTGTGTGTGTGTGTGTGTGTGTGTGTGTGTGTGATCCGTTCTCTTTCTGAACTGATGTGAACCAAAACATAAACGTATATGCCAAACGGTGCACCCCTACATCACGACAGGTTACCCATTCACCTGTATAACAGGTCCGCCTGAGGACACGCATAACTGCACTGTAGGCGGCATCGAAAACAAGTTGGACAGAAAATAAAAAAAGAAAAGGAGAGAAAAGAAAATGTGTACCTGGCGCCCAATCCAACACAGAAAACACTTCACCCTTGGCACTGGTAAAGGTGACGCCAGGTTTGCCGCCACTCTGTTGGCACAGTACAGGTGTGTCACTCAGAAAGTCACTGGGCCATTCCTGTCCAGTCACCGGTGTCTGAGGCTCGTGGTGGGGCTTCTCCTCTGCAGGTCTCTGAACCTGAAAAATAAGGAACCATTGGAAAGGACAATGACAGAGGAATCAAAATCAAATCAGCACTGGTGACCGACATTACGGTTCTCAGAACATACCTTTGTCCCCGCACCCCCGCCTGCTTCTACTACAGCCTCCATTTTCTCCTCGTCTACGATGGCCACATTATCCAGCGTCTTTCTCAGGTTCTCCTGCAGCTTCTTGAGGTCATCAAGGAAACGCTTCTCCTTGTTGGGTTTTTCAGGGGCCGAAGGTGGCGCCGGACTTGCAACGTGAGCTGTCGAAGAAGGTGCGACGGAGGTGGGGGATGTCGGAGAGAGGCCGGTCCAAAGCTGCTCCACAGTCATGTTCTTCAGGCTCTCCAGGATCCTCAGGGCTTCCTTCAACTCCCGGAAGCCTCGAGAGGCGCAGTCCTTACCTGGCTTCTCAGCTCCGTTGACAGCGCCTGCTGGAGGGGGCCATAAACAACATTTGGTTAGAAGGCCACCAAAATGCGCAGAACCAACAAGTCGACTGTTCTGTGTGGCTTGTTGTGGTATGAACTCCATCGGGCTTGCCATTCCACTTTGTACTACAGGGTGTGTCACGTGACAACAGCAGATGCATCAGTTACATAAGTCACAAGACATCCGCAAATCCATTCAACAAAGAGGAGGAATGCAGTATTGTACAGTCGTATTTTGAATCCTTGCCCGGTGTTTATTTGCATTTCTTTCCTACTGTGGCATGAAGATGGCTATTCTAGCATCCCCAATCACTGAATTGCAGTGCACCTGCTTCAACTCGATTATATCTACGGCTATGTTGGATACTGCCAAAGAAAGTTTCCGCAAAAGTTATGGTACTGATATTTTGGTAACTGTTGTCACAGTCAACAAGTAAACACAAACAAAATAACAATAAACACGTACAAGTAAAAATAAGCCCTCACCTCCACCAGAAGCTGAACTCGGCACTACCAATGACTCGCCCTCCTTTCCACCGGCTGATTTCGTGGGACTGGTGACCCCGACTTTGTCCCCCTCTTGAGGGGGAATGATGAATGTGGAGTAACAGGATGTAGGGGTCACCGTCTCAGTGACATCCATATTGTCGACGTGGCTGTCGTCCTCTGTGGTGAGGCCGTTATCCGTCTCCCAGCTGTCACTCTCGTCCTCCCACTCTTCAGTGGACAAGCCGCTGCTTGTCTCATCCGCCGAGTCGTAGTCCGCCTCCTCGATATCAGACTCCACACAGTAAAGATGCTGTGTGGGATTTAAAGAATCTCAGCAACTGTGATGGCAAGAGCTTTCTTTCTTGTCATTTTAGTGCACCTGTGGGAGGACGATGGTCATGGAGTTGTCTGCCCACACCACCTCCACTTTGCTGCTCACATCCACCCTGGATACTTGGCCGACTGAAGTCTGAGTGGGTGTGGGGGTGGGGGGTCAACATAATCATATGGAAAACAGCATGTGAAGAAGAATGTTTCAGAAGAGCAAACAAACACAGGATGTGATATAGCTTATTAGCACGGGAGTCCAGTGGGCTACATCAGGCCCATGTTGTCATTTTATGTAGGCTGTGAAAGCTGAACATATTTGGTAAGAGTCTACAAATGTAACTATGCCAGACACGTACACAAACACATTTAGCTCAACCCTGGCTAGCAGACATCATTGCTAGCCATATGTTTAAAATATGAAATAATGACAATTAGCTCAGCACAAACGCAACTCCAACTGGCATTCGGATTGAGTCAAAGCAAGCACAAATACCATTAGTAGTATATTATAGCATAACAACTCACACTGGACAAATTATTACGGTCTGAATCCTTCATTTCCTAAAAATACCAACTTAGGATGTTTCGCTCCTACAAAAAATAAATAAATAAATAAATAATTTTGAGTTTATGTTGCTGTTATGTTTGAAATTTAACTATATCTGTTTGTTCCCTTACCGTAGGAAATGTGAACCGAACCACAATTTTTGGCGTGCCGTTACTTCCCTAGCGATTATAAAGTTACGTAAAACAAGTTTAACTGTTAAAACCATCCACCCTGAAGGAAACCTTCACTACAATGTGGCTCCTTACAAAACCAAATTTGAAATCCCTGGGATCAATGGATTGCCTCATAGTTGGTCATTGTTTAGTCATTCAAGTTGGATATACATTGGGAATTATCCGGAAACACCTTATGACTGCTGAAGAAGCTTCACATAATTCAAATACATCTTACCTCATTTTCACACTCATTCTCGCCGACTTCCGAGTTCCATATTCTTATGACAATGTCAGTGGTGCGGAAATGGAAATCTGGGTGATCCGCTATGTCATACACGCTGACATCTTGCTCCACACCAATAACCTGGAGGCCAAGGAAGGAAAAAAAAAACAAAAACAAAAGAAAAATGATCCTCATACACTCAACAATGTTTAGAAACCTGCACGATGAGGACAGGAAATAGTATTAGTATTGTTTCAATCTGTAGTATTTGTATTGTTTCAATCTGTAGTATTTGTATTGTTTCAATCTGTGCTCTAGCTTTCTGACAGACCTCCACGTCGTCACTGGTGGCGTTGAGTTTGATCCACTTCACGACACATGTCCTGTCCTTGTGGTCACCAGACTGGATCACACCATAGACGCCTGGGTCCTGGAGGGCTTGGGCTATCATAAAAAACATTGACATTTTAGAAATATTATTACCATGGACAATATTAAGACTCAAATTGATATAATGTATCCAAAAGCAAACAGCTTCAGTGCATGACTTTCAAAATTGTGGACTGTGGCTTACATCGTTTGTCCACAACAAAGTCGCCAGGGCAGAACTCATGTCCGTCTAGGTGCTGGATGGGGATGAGGTCATTTGATCGTATCCCTTTCTCCACATGTCCATCCTTCCACATTACATCAGCTGTGGTCTTGGTAGATACAACTTCCACAGCCACACTACACATAAAAGTACATTGTGTCAACCAAAACTATATTTTGGGGAGGAAAAAGAACTATAATCATATTACAGGAGAGGCTTAAGGCTATGAGATATACCGCTTTTTTAAAATACCACCCAGATCTACCACAATATCACACCGCAAGGGGGCCCAAAGTGAAAATATAAATTTTGCACTTCAAAAAAACAACTTGGCCCTGTAGAAATGAATACAAACTGCAACACAAACAGTGAAAGTGGTGACAGCCGAAACATAACATGAATATCCCACCTATCTCCTGGTTTGAACTCGCGGGAGAACTTGGTCCTCTTCTTCTTGTGTTTCCTCTTCAGGTTGCGTATAGAGAGTGGGATGCTCTTCTTGCGGTTGGGTCCCAGACCTCCGCTTTTTGAGGACGTTGTGGAGCTGGCTGATGATGTCAGAGAACTACAACACAGGTAGAAACAGCAATTTTTTTCTTTCCACTCACCCTACCCTGTGACAGATTTAACAAATGAACAACAGCGAGACAGTGGTTGCTCGCGCAAAAAAATGTCTGTGGTCCAGGTTTCTGTTGAACGTAAACTTTTCTTCAATTTGCTGCACATGTTAAGTTAGTTCAGATTTGTCGTGCGCTTACAGTACCAACCTGTGTTTTATTTTTGACATATTTTATGGGTGTGGACAGAGTCGTTTAGTAGAGGGAAATAATTTTTAAACTACTGTATACTGTAGATTGCTCAGCATCAATGAGTACACCCCAAAAAGGTTCCTTATCAAATCGTGGCATATTATACAATATTATGCTAATAGTAAATGAGATTTTTTTTATTGAGTACAAACAACAATCTAATCATTTTCTGACAAATTCATTTAATGTGCAAAAATGAATATACACCAATGAAGTCAAGTGAAGTTATAGTTTGGAATAATAAATAAATAAATAAATAATACAATTCACAAGGATTCAGCCAAAGGCCAGTCGAACCAACCAAAATTATTCACAGAGGAGTATATAAAAGACTTCCTTGTTAAAAGGGGTTGTATTCACTTATTTTGCACTCAACTTATGTGTCGATAAAGATAAATGCAAGAGGAGCTGCCAGACCTGGTGTCGTCCGTGTCCTCTGCTGCCTCGTCATCAGCGTCGTGCTCGCCGTGTTCAGCAGGAGCGTTGCGAGTAATCTGGGGGTCGGGGGGGTTCTGATTGTTTGGGCAGTTACTGTCGTGATGGGAGGCGTCTGTCTGTTCCGAGTTGTGCTCGCCTGTTGACAGATATTTGGGGATACGTTCACAATTCCATCTTGTTTTACATGAGAGTAAATACCATAAATGAAGGGACAAGAACAACAACATTTCAAAATGTGCGGTGAGAGAAAAAAGTAACATCTTCGTCTGTTTCTCTGGTTGTGTGGCAGACTGTGCTGCACTTCAGCACCGTTTATCAACAAACTATTCCCTTAGCTCAAGGCGTCATTTGTGGCAAGACTGTCTGAGAGACTGTTCGCACAGGAATTTAACGCTCGCTAACACCGCAGATGTTAAGTTCCCAAATACTGTACGTGACGGAAGACGCGTGAGGAACGTGCTTCATTGTCTGACCTTGACAAAATGAATCTTTATGTGTGCACGGAATGAGAATGGGAATGCGTTTTATGTTCCTCAGAAAACAGCGTGGTTTTGCACCTTGCGTATCGATGTTCTCTGTCTTCTTGCCAGCATCTTTCTTGAAAAATCTTTTCAACTGCAACACACACACACACACACACACACACACACACACCCTTGAGTGAGTTTTGCAGGGATTATTTTTGTGCAAACGGACAGTTTTACTTTTTGTCACTTGTCCAAGGTAATTGAAAGATACTTATGAGATGCCTCGTGTAATCGAGACCTTTCTGCCCACAGGGTCCTCTTGCAGGACAGGGGTCCCTTCAGGTCCTTCGAATGTAATGCGCGTGGCATCCCCATTAGCAGGGAACACATAGAGCCCCCTGTCTCCAAGCTGCCTCTGGGTGTGGTCATAGTGGCCTAAGCGCCTCACCCTAAAGCCAGTGAGCAGAGCAACATTACCCACACAGAGCAGGGCACAACAAAATGTTCGGATCTGAACCATTGATCAAGTACAAGACAGTATGGCTTCCTTTGCATCAGTGAGGATGCAGACCAACCTGCAGAGGTTCTCTTGCGTGATGGTGCAGGGCGGAGGATAGATGCTGTCAGAGCCTTTTGGGGAGTAGCTTTTTGTGATCCACGTCACATTCAGCTCAGAAACCTTGACCTGAGTAAACCACATTCATACATATGTGACAATGGCAGAACCTTCCAGTCATAGAAGAAGTTAACAGGCAGAGCAAGGAAGTTCAAGTCACTAACGTGCTTAATTAGCAGCTTAATTAATGCGAGTGAAGCTGTCTTTGTGCCGAACTGAAGCACACTACTACGTATGAAGTGTATTCACATTCAAACCGGCATGAGCCTTCTAACATCGGTGGCAGAAGACGAGCACACATCTTACAATAGGACCTGGTGAGACCTTGTACCACAATTTGCACCTACATACACAAGCTTAATCAGCTCACTGTTTTACACAAGCGTTTACCTTTGTGACATGAAAAGGCAGACACCAGCTAGCTAACACCAGCCAGCACGGCGCCATGTTTGCTCCATTTTAAGTAATTCACTACCAGCCATTTTCAGACCTTCCTTTGCCATACCATGTGACATGAAATTTTTATTTTTTATTTATTTATTTATTTATTTTTTATTAGTCAAAATACAAATCTGGGGTTGAATGTCTGGATTCTTAAAAGCCATAAATATGCCATCGGCAGTGAATTAATGAATCACTGTGTAATGAATTAGCAATTTTGTTAGCATTTTAAATGTGAGATTTTTTTTTTTTTTTGCATATCAAATTAGCGTTTTAACGTAATTTGGAGGCGCTGATATGTTGATGTGAGCATGCAGTGGTATGTTAAAGCAATATAAGGTATAATACCCACTTGAAGATTTGTTTTTACCTGCAAGGTTGTCATTTTTGGAGGTGGAGGAATGCCACCCAAGAGCGATGATAAACAGATATATAAAATATCAATAAATACTGACATTTATGTGTCTAGTACAGTTTACTGATTACCAGAGAATTCAATGGAATAATCGATAGGATACTCGATTGTAACCTATTAGTGGCAGCCCTAATTCATAGCATATGAAACATGTGGCTGCTAATAGTCCAAAAATTATAAAACAGACTGTTGTGATTGAGAATTAAGATGAGTTTAATTTTCCTAATCACAAAATGTTCTTCTAAGTCAAAAATGGGCCCTATGGACACACTGTAGATCCTTTAAGCATGCAGTCAAAATGGCCACGGTAGCCTTTACCTCTTCCACCACTGCCCTGAACTTGCAACTCCTGCAGAGGACAGGTTTGACCCCTGACAGCCACTGGACATTAGAGAAGACTTTAGAAGGACCAATCAGCACCTGGCCAGGATAGAACCCATACTCCTCATCAAAGAACAGACCCTGAAATACAATGGTGAATGGTTGACAGAAACAGCATGGTAAATGTTACAATCATGAAATAACCATCGAGACAATGTCAGGGCAGCTCATAACGTCACAACAGCCAAATTAGGGTCAATGAATATCTGCATGTTACTTAATAAGCTGATATTTAGCTTTTTCGGATGGAGCATTACTTTCATACCGGATCACATACATGAGGACTGACATCATACAGCTTGGCTCCGTCCTCCACATTCATGGAACATCTGGAAGAAAGCGCAAAAACATCAGTTGGCACAATCAGAATCGCACCGAATGGCACCCAAATAAGCGTACCTGGCTCCATTGGAGAGCTTGAGGACGATATGACTGGTGAAGTCGTACACTTTCCCGAGCCAAAAGTCATAAACTATGTAGTCACCGTACATGAAAGACTGGGGAGGAAAGAAACAACAAACAATTCGAGAATTATCTCAAGACACACGCTCACACTAATGTGGACTTACATGAATATGTGAGATTGACTTAACACTGTCAGGAGTAATTGTAAATGAATTTCTGGGTCGTATATATGAATGATTACCCAAATATGCTGTAGCTCTTTGCTGTTGACAGGATACAGTACACAGTTTGTGCCCAACAGTTTCACTGCACACTCAATGTTCACATTGGTCACAATGCCACACTGGTTATCCTGCAATAAAACATGGAGACAAATAAAACACACACTTCTTTATTTGCAAATAATAAAAAAAAAAATGGTATATCGTGCCAAAAAGCTCATTTCAGTCTTATCCATTTCAAATGAGTTCAGTGACTGTTGTGTTTTTCTGAAACAGAAGGATACCAAACCACTTTCCCCCCCGTTGTACATGGAACAACACAGAAGATGAAGAGCAAAAAAAAAAAATCAAATGAAATAAAATACTGTCATGAGAGGAATTAGGAAATTGAAGAAGAAAAGTACAGTCAAACCTCGGTTTTCGAACGTCTCTGTTCTCTACCAAATTGGTTTTCGACCAAAAATTTCGAGTTTTTTATGCCTCGGATGGCGACCGAATTTCGGTTCTTGAACAAACTGAGCGCACTTGAATGCGTCACTTGACTCCTCTCTTACACGAGGAAGTGAGGCTTCCTTGTGTAGCGTTCCATTGTGAACAGACGTGTTCAATAAAGATTTTTTTTAAAGAGTGTGGTTTCGGTTTTCGAACAAATCGGTTTTTGACCAGCCTTCTGGAACGGATTATGGTCGAAAACCGAGGTATGACTGTATATGGTGCTCATCTTACATTTGAATTATTGCGTCGAACAATGTCTCTGATCACGATGGATCGATCTTCAAGCAACAGCTGTGTGGAGAAAAAAAAAGAACAGAATGTTAACTTACTGAGTCTTTCAGATATTTTTATGCGATTGCCAAAAAGCTGAGGTCAAGTAGCAAGACAGTAAAATGAGCAAGAAATAACGCACACATTTTATCAGTCCATATTTCACCTGCAGATTTATTTGTTGGATTTTGTTTGATTGGTGCAAAACGCTCTGAGCACATTATGAAAGTCTCATGGTAAAAAAAAAAACCAAGGGACTGTCTCTCCAGCTATCTTGCTAGTTTAGCATGAGAAATCTACCACAACAAGGATAGACTCTGTACAGCACCAGAAGGCGCAACAACGGGCCGGGATTCTACCTATGGCCACACAGCAACACAAGGATTCTACTTAGGTAAACCATTTCAAACCAAAATGAATTAAAACAAACAAACAAAAAAAAAAAACGTAGGTAGTTCGAAGCAAGAGTTTCAAATCCAACTGGAACACATTTGCTGTCATTCATTAATACGATTAGGGAACAAGGATTTGGGGTGCCTGTACAAACTAAACTGATCTTGCTTTTTATAAAATAAGTTTCCCCCAAAAATGTGACTTGTAGTCTAGTGGGACTTTTTTTTCCTTCTTCATGGTGCATTTTTTGACTGTTGCAACTTCCAGTCCAAGTGATTCATCGTTCGAAGAAAAAAAAAAAAAAACAAAAAAAAAACAGAAATGTGTAAAAAACAGCATGACACAAATGTTAGTTACGTTACACCGTGTAATTTTAACAAACACCCTAATGTCGTGCAATGCACTGAATCTCTAAATATCACTAGAAAGAGTAAGTGTGAGAGAGTAGCTTCATTTTGATACTCCTTACACAAAATAGGCCATCCGGATACTTTAAATGCAGCTCTTCAGCTGTGCCCGTTATTTCTTCTTTTCTTCATCTTTTTTCTTATTGCTAAAAATACAATTCAGGAAAAGTGCTGCAAGGTGGGAGCAAACAAGAAACTATAGAAGAATGACTCACGACAACGTTGAATAAAGAAACAGGAGTTCATACGCATATGGCACGGTATGCAGTGTAGTGATCTGATAAATCACATCATTTCACATTTAGAAAAACATGGCCTACATTTACAACCTACTCTACAGAATTACATTGAAAAAGAAAAGCACTATATTATGGTGGCATGGATTAAAATAAATATATTGCATATACCAAAAATCTTTTTTCAAAATTTACAATCCAATGGTAGCAGAGGTGTGTAAAGCCTAAAACAAATAGTTTGCTGACGCATCATTTTCTTAAATGATAGCCATGGTTCCTTTTGGGTTGGAGACACCTCTTGACATTAGCAATATCTGATGATTTTGGGCAAGATTGGTCTGACTAAAACCCTCCTTCAAATGAAGAAAAACAAGGCATTGCGATGAGCATGCTGTTCTTTCATTGATGCATAATATTTTTTCCGCCAGAAAAAAAAGGTACAATTTTAAAAGGATACCAAGCTAATGATTGTCAATGTAACAAGAAAGAAGTTCACAATCAATCACACTGACACCGTGAAAGCTTGTCGAAGCCACCTCAGGACAGGGCCAAGTGGTGGCAGGCTATTGATTGACACAGACTTCCAGGAACTACTGAGCCACTACAGTAAAACAAGGGAATACAACACTGGTGCCTAACATCAAGGCTGTTCATCGCCTTTCTGTGTCAGGCAAGACAACTCTGAAGAACCATAGAAATGAGGAAGTAGTGCATCAACCAGGGCCATGAGGAGCATAGGGGTGTGGTCGCTAATAAACGGAAGATGAGCAGCAAATGTGGCACGGAACAGATGTCTGGGCAGCCCATTAAGTGGGAGATCCAGACGGGGGGGGGACAAATCAAGAAGCACCAGACACTTGGAAAAAAAAATGGTGTGCGTGAGTGTGTGTGTGTGTGTGTGTGTGTGTGTGTGTGAGGGGAATCGACAATCTCCCTAATGGGCAGGGCCGAAACTGCGGATAAGAATGAAAGCAAGCGATCAAATGAGATCCATTATCTCAAGGCAGGACAGGCACCCCATCCAGTTAGCAGCAGATTACAACATTCCCCATCACTGACCAGCTGGGAAGTTAATGGGGGAATGGGTGAAGGTGGCAACCGCAGAGCGGATGGACGGGAAGTTTAACTCATTCAGTACCAGCCGATTCTAGACCAAGTTTGAAAAGACGTTTAAAAACATCTTTGGGGGTGAACGATTTACAGCAGCTCCTACACTTTTTGTTCTTCTACTTTCTTCCTTTCATAACTTTGCCGCTGTAAATTGGGAATTTCTCCATGGTCAAACGAATAAAGGTTTTCTTATTCTTATTCTTACCTGTGGCGTGTCATCTCATTAAATTAACTCTGCAACATGCTTTTTTTTTTTTTAGTTAGCAGTGCATAGCACCATATAATATGTTAAATGTTGCAGCCTGGTCATCCCAAAAGGGGGATTCCCTCCATCAGTGGATCCGGTACAATTACCAACTTGAACAATGTTGTGTCTGGTAATTCAAATAAGATGGCTGTGCAAGGAATTCTTCCAGACATCAACCACTGCCCAGGGCGTGGCTCGCATCCCACTACAACAATCCCCCTCAGCCCTGACACGAGCTCCAAGGATACGCACCTTCATTAAAAACACAGACAATGCGGTCGCCATCGACCTGCCGTGTTAGGCGGGCCGGGAAGGATGGTACACAACCTCTGGGAAGTCCTGACCACACCCAGTGGTGCAATGCACCTCTGCCATTGACTTGGGCTGCATACGAGTCACAGGCACTGAGATGGAGATCTATGACTAAATGGCTGCCTCTGGAGATGCCTATTAAGATTTTATGAAAGAAAACGAGATTGTGGAGGAGAAAGGTAGTGTGCAGCACACTTTCCCACTCTAAGTAGAGTGTAACTGAATCACTCTTCAGAGATGCAACATGAATTCACATCCTGTATATTTCTTTTGGAGAGGGTTGCACAAAGAACAACACCAGCTTTCTATGCACGGCACTACTTGTGATCCAAACCACGATACAGACACTGCGAGCATTTCTATGGCAATGTGAGCAATAACAAATTAAACACCTTTACCACATGGTAAGTACATCCGTTTCATAGTTCTGAGATTCAGAGCCTCGAATCTCTGCTCCCGAGTGGAGTTTACATGTTGTCTGCATGCTTGTGTGAGTTTTGTCTAGGCACTCCACATTCTGAAAACATGCATGTTGGGCTCATTGAAAACTCCAAATAGTACAGTGTGTGACTGCTTGTTTCTCTCTGTGCCTTGACTGGTGACCGTACCAAGGTGAGCCCCACCTTTCACCCGGCTGGGAGGATAAAAAAAAAAAAAAAAAGGATAAATTAACTAGAATAGAAGGCTCCATAACTCAGTTAATTGTCTGAGGCATCATTGTGTTCAATATAAAACACATCAATATTATTGTAGAGAACTACTGGTACTTTTTCCTCTTAAGAAAAATAACAGTCAGTTCCACTAGTTAGCTGTAAGCAGCTTTATTATAGCAATATTTTCACCAAGCAGTACAACTCAATTCATTCTGGCATTAGAGTTTCATAACTCCACTCTTAAATAACGGCTGTGGTATTTTAGGGTCTCCGCAGACACTGTCAAAATATTCTTTCTTGGTGAACTAAGCACACATCAGTCTGTTCTGTAAAAATATGCATTTCGAGTTGCATTCCAAATGACTTCTCCAAGTCTAAGGTTCGGAAATTATCAACTTCAATTTTTCTTCACCAAAGTTTTTTTTTTTTTTTTTAATTATTTGTATTATTATTTTAGGTTCTCTAGTTTGACATCAGTACATCCCTTGCAAGATACTTTTCATGAATGATTCTGATCAGCAGTCCCCCAGCTATCCATACCATGGACTGGGATGAATATTGCTTCAACTCTGTAGTACAGATCACGGCAACTATGTTTATTTTCAGTCATTACTGAATACAATCTCCTTTTAAGATGGATGACACACCATCTTAACAAAATAACAGATTGCAACAGTGGACAAAAAGCAATCGCTGGTGTAGACAGCTCATGAAACAGAGTGCCACAAGGAAATGATCCACAGGACTATTTTTTCGTCTAGAATTTGCAATTAAAGGTTGCCCACTGTTGCTGATCTGAGCTCTGAAAATCCTTGTTTTTCTGTGAAGGTGCTAAGTTTATGCCACTTCTGGGTGTAGTTACTTGGGGAAATCGTTTTCAAAATGGACAGTCTATATCATGCAGTATAATCATTGTATTGTAATTGTGAGATTTAACGAAGGCAGATTAACAACAGGCCATGACACATCACACAGGCTTAAAAGGCACACAGGCAACTCAAAGGGACAAAGTGAGACAATGACTGAAATGGACTTCTTCTAGGCCAGTCTCATCTCTCTGACAGACTGACACAAGCCTCTGTGTGCTCTTTCCAGATCAATTCTTGTTTTAGGACCACATGCTTTGACAATAGTTCTACATGAAAGCAATGTGACATACATGCAGAAAGGAATGTTCTACGTGACCACTGAAAACACAGAAATGCCAAACAAGGTCTGGGAGCAGGTCATCTTTAAGCACAGGTTGAGTCCCACACAAAATGTTTACATCCATCAAAGCCAAGTTGAGGCAATTCTCTTTCTTTACTGAGTTGGCAATTAATTCATACCCTTTTCCAGTCTGTGGTATACTTGATTCTGGAGGTTTTTCACAACAGCACCAGCTCAGCAACTTAGGGTGAGGAGCTATGCTGCTAGCTAGCTTGTCTGCTTCGCATGCTAACTAGTTAGCCATCGAGGATAGGCGTTGAAGCAGATGAATAAGACGCAACGAGTGAAAAAAATAAGTCCACACGAAGACTTGCCCACGACCAAACGCGGCCACTTTGTAGAAGCGTGTCAGACAAAGAAACCCGTCAAGGGTCAAATGTTTACACATTAGCTGTGATGTGCTACCTGTGTCTCCCCGATGTCTTGCTTCCCTCCATCAGGGTACCATAGGACACGGACAAATCCGCGACCCAGAGGCCGACTGTGTATGTCACACGGGACTCGTCCACCTCCACCGCCTTTTCCTCCTCCTCCTCCTCCTCCTCCTCCGCCGCCGCCGTCTCTCCCTCCACCATCATCAAGGTCCGAGTCGGAGTTGAATTCCTCCTCGCCGTGGATCATCCGTACGAGGCCAAACCGGACAGATCCTCTATACTTCCTGGAGACCAAGTCGTGGGAGAAGAGCAGCCGCTGCGAGCCCTCCGCCGGGGGAGACA